CCTAGTGAATGCTGGTGAAACAAATTAAGTGTTGGGAAACCAATCAAACAAACTGGAATCACAAACTCATTATATTTTGTCATTTTGATAGATTAGAAGTGGTAATATTTAAAGTACCCCAGGCATGCCTCAGAATCTTGGCAGCAGTTCGACTGCCAATGAGAGGATTTAATTCAGTTGTTACCAAAACTTGATAGCATGATATTTGGAATTTTCTATTAATTATTAAAAATACATAAATCTCTTTGTTACATAAAATTTGATGTCGTTAAAGCAAGGTATATGTTCTTTTATGTCTGTATCTCATTTACAACAACTTTGAGAGCTCTCATTCTGACCTAGAAAAATGGCTAAAATTGCTAATGAGAGAATTTTAGGAAAGAGTTAATGGGTAGAAAATACACCAGCCATGAAAGCCTATGAAGATAAGAAATAACAGGCAGGATAAAAATAGCCTTCCCAAGTGCGGTATCCAGCAAGGGAGCAGATTTTGTGGGCGGCACCGTGGTGGTGATGGTGATACTGCACATGAAGGAGAGACAGAACTGGGGGGTGGTAGCTAATGTAAAAGCATGCCTTAATTTGTCCTTATAAACGAAAACATCCACAAATTCCTCCTTTGAAAAGAGGAGATGATTTCGGGAAATTTCTAGCAAGCACTGGTCTAGTCAAAGACGCCAGAAGTGGTTGTGTAGGTCCTAGCCCTGGTGAAGGTGTCTCCTAGGTCTTTGGGCAAGACCTCCAATCCAGTGGGATAAAGAGCATCTCATTCTCAGAGGCACAGTGGCCCTGCAAGGGTTAGCAGAGATGTTTACTGTGGTGAGTTAAAGGACTAGCATAGCACACAGCTGTTTCTTCGAGATGCCTTTTTCTTCGCCCCCTTTAGGATTTTCTGGGAGGTGTTGAAGGGTTAACTCCTGAGGTTAGGCAACGTGGGCCTTCATCTGACCTCGGTGCTTATTTGGAAGATTCTCCAAGGACATAGGCACCAACAAGACCTCTTTTATCGATATTCTTAAAACACAGCTCACTGTAAAATCAAATGCGAGTTATGCCAGCTGCACTTGGGAATCTATCCAAGGGCTTCGTTTCTGGTGTGTCCATTCCTCTTGAGGACCTTTCGATGCTTCCCAAACAAAAGCAGAAATTACACTAGAGAATGGCACTAGGGCATGGGTGACTCCAGCAAGAATCTAGACACAGGGAGGCAGAAGTCATGCCTCATTGCTGTCCATTCTGACAGTCCTTTCTCCCCATTCAACATACAATTTACATGAGAGCTAAATCGGCTATTCTTCAAGGATGTGTTAGATGAATAATGACTAGAAGTAGCATCCACTAATAAATTAAGATGATTTCTGGTACAGGGTTAAGTGCTGAAATTTGTTTTGTTTTGAGACAATTTCTCCCTATGTTGCTTGGGTTGGTTTTGAACTCCAGGCCTAAATTAAGGCCCCCACCTAAATCTTCTGAGTCACTGTAGGGCGTGTGCTGGCTAGTTTTATGTCAACTAGACACAAGGCAAGGTTATCTGAGAAGAAGGAGTCTAATTCAGAAAACACCTACCTAAGCTAGGGCTGCAGGCAAGACTAGAACAGTTTCTTAATTAGCGATTGATGGGTGAGGGCCCAAGACCATTCTGGGTAGTGCCATCCCTGGGCTGGTGGTCCTGGGTTCTATGAGCTACCAGGCTGAGCACGCCATAGGAAACAAGTCAGTAAGCAGCTCTTCTCCATGCATCTTAGCTGTTGCCACCGGGTTCCTGCCCTGTGGGAGTTCCTGTCTTGACTTCTGTTGATGATGAACTGTGATATGATGCAGAAAAATAAACCAAATAAACCCTTTCTCCCCAGGTTGCTTTCGGTCATGGTGTTTCATCACAGCCATAGTAACTGTGCCTAAGATGGGGCTAGACTACCATATCCGGGAAATTGATGAAGTTTTGAAAGTATGCTTAACTGTTAATTCAAAAATGTCATATACTCTCAGAGGTAGGAAAAAGTTTTTAATTAGTTATTCATCAAGTTATTCCTTTTTCTACAGGACCTAAGAGACATTCAGAATTAGCTATTAAGAACATATTTTGGATACAATGTAGGCAAATTATTGCTTTAAATTTACTTGAAGTGTTTTACTTACTTTAAGTTTACATTGTGTTTTTATGATATTTCGTATAAAACAACACTCATTAATAAACACATTTCACAACTTGGCAAGTGATATATAACCCTATAAAGCTGATAAAAATGCCAAAAAGTATAGGAAAATATAAGAACTTAACTGGAGCAGTTACTTATGTTTATGTATGTAAATATATATACGCTTGTATACATACTTCCCACTGTATAACAGAGCATTTAAGAATTTAGTGACCTAAAAACAATAGTCATTTTATTAAATTTCATGACTCAGAAATTCGATCAGCGCTCTATTGTGTGCTTATTTTGTTCCGAGTAGGATCAATGAATCCTACTGAATGAGGTCTGTCTAGTGAATGGATTCAGCATGAAGCAATTCACATTTAACAAGAGATACTGAGAGGCAGGGATTAGTTGGCAGCTCTAGCCAGAGTCCTGTTCCAGTGGCCTTTCCAGCAAGGCAGTATCAAGGGAATTGAGTTTACATGTTAGCCCCAAGCTGTTAGAGGAATACCCCAAAATAATATGCTGGGAATGCAAACTTCCTTGTGGCTCAACTTTGAAAATCTGAGAATATCTCTTATTTCAGGTTCTATTTTTCAAGGTTAGAAGCAATTTAAGAGTGAGGGTTGAAACAGTCCTTTTCTTTAAAAAAAAAAAACAAATTTGAAATTAAAATATGATCCCATCATTTTTGCCCTTCCCTTTCCTCCCTCCAGCCCTTCCCACATGCCTCCACCTCCTTGTTCTTTCTCAAACCGTAGACTACTTTGTGTGTGTGTGTGTGTGTGTGTGTGTGTGTGTGTGTGTGTGTTTTAACTGTTGGTACATATAGTGGAAGAGGAAGGGGAACGTTTGTAAGAGCCAGAGGAATAGGAGTGTGCTATGAGAGTCCCTTTTCAGAAATGTCAGGGAGGCTACATCCATGAAGTCTCATGAACATGACTGCCTAAATAAAACCTGAACATGGATGATACCAACAGACCTGTGAGCACACAAGGGGGAGATTCCCATGGGGCCTTAACCCTAGAAAAAAACCTTCATGCAACCAAGGCATCTTGGAGGAAGGGAAACGGTCTCAGCAGCAGAAAAGCAATGACAATGCACCTGACTTGATTCTGCCCACAACTAGGCCAACTGGTGGAGCACCTGGGTACGTTATCCCTAGACTTCCGGCATCATCCACTCTGGACCAGCTAAATGTTCACTTTTGCAGCATGTTCTTGTCTGGTACCAACGGAAGACGAATGGAATCCCTGGATTTTAACAGTGTTGGATTGATTTGTTTTGCAGCTACCCCATAATTTTTTTCGCCAAGTCATTGTCATCATAAAGGACAATTAGTGTTTCTCCACGATGATGTTTATTTGGGAAGAGCAGAGCACTGAGGAGAGGGTAGGCACCTCAGAGTAAACTGTGGATAAATCCAAGACGGATTGAGGCAAGGATATGATTCTAAACTCAAAACGAGATGAATTTACATAAGCTTCTTGGATTTCAAGATTTTAGGTTTTCGAGGTGGGAGGAAGGAGTTGAGATGAGTTCAGTTGTGTAGTAGGTAGGATTGCTAAGAAAATGTTCTGAAGAAGCGTTTGTGTGGTCTGCAACAATCTCAATGCTAAGGATAATTTTTTTTTTCTCCAGTGGGAGAGGTGTGCAAACTCTGAATATCTTTTAGAACAAACAAATCTTATAAGCCAAGAAACTACTTACCTCAGACAGGCATGAACACCACGTCCCCGAATAATACTGTCTGGCCCTAACTTTGTCTGGGTCTGACAAGAAGGATTTCATCTTAATATCATCAGTTTTTATGATATCCTGACCAGAAAGCTCTTTTTGTGTGTATCATGGATCCATTATTAGTTTTAGAGCCTCTGCTAGTCATGAAGTCATTAAAGGTCAAACCAGATGCCACTCGAGAGAGAAAAACCTGGCGTCATTTCAAAGATGAGGGAACTGGAGACTCAAGAAGCTATGTGATCTATCCAAAGTCAGAAACTAGTGACAGACACCCACCCCACTGCAATGTTTGAAAAGAAGCAACCTTGATTTATCTGTGGGGAGGGCACCCTGTTTGCCTGAGTAGTCCCCTAAGCAATACCCACCTACCTTCAATTGTACTTTTTTAATTACTAGTTTTGAGTACAATTGACTCGTTTAATAAACAAACAAACAAAACTAACCCATTTTTTTTGTGCCTATTCAATAATGTTTTCTGAGCACCAAGCTGCCTGCATGAGCCCAGGCAATGCTCCCCAACAGAGGTCCCATCCAGACTAGGAGGGAAGAGGGCCCCAGCTTCGTGAGATTTGTTTCACACTCTTTGGTTGTCCCCTTAGAACTATGAGTCTGAACTCCACTTAGAACCAGGCCCTCTGCAGTACAGATTCTGAGAGTCTGAGATTTTTCTGCAGAGAGCTCACATGTGGAGTGGGTACTGTTAAAACTACTCAGAGATGAACCATGCTGCTCGAGTTCTTACTGCTCCTTTGTTTCAAGAGAAGTTTGCTCTTTGGCTGGGGTGACAGATAGCTCTGACTTTTATTCAGACCGCAGGGACTCTCGGTGGCCCTAAGTACTGCTCCTGAAGCTCGGATTTCCTGTTTAGAGGGTGCACTGTCACCTTTAGCTTTTGTCTTTTGCTGCGGCTAATTTGTCTTCCTCTTGGACCAGCCCGTGGGGGCGGGGGTGTGGGCAGGACCCGACTGCTGATGGAGACACCTCCTTCCACTCTCTGACCTGGGCGGGATCAGTCTTCCAGCTTATCTGGGAGGAGCCCCAAGGGGGCGGCACCCGGGCCAGACAGGGCGGGGCAGCTGACCCCTGTCGACTCCAGGGGACGGGGAAGGGGAGGGGGCGCGTCCCGGAGGGGCTGGTGAACCGCGCTCGGGAGTGGGTCGGCTCCTCGGGGGCGGAGCGGCGTCGGGATGGGCGGGCAGGGACGCGTGCGGCGGCGGCCCCGGGGCTCCCGGCTCCTCCCCGCCTGTGCACTGGAGCGCCCGCGGCCGCGCTGAACTGTGCACCGCGGGCCGTGCGAGCTGCCGCCTGCACCCCGAGAGGAACGCGGCCATGCCCGGGCCCTAGCGCGCTGCCGCAGCCTCTTCAATGGGCAACCTGCTCGGCGGGGTCAGCTTCCGCGAGCCCACCACCGTGGAGGACTGCGACTCCACCTGGCAGACCGATTCGGAGCCCGAACCCGAGCCCGAGCAGCCGGGGCCGGCAGGCGGTGGCGAAGGCCAGGAGCACGGCGAACCGGAGCAGCCCGAGCAGCCTCCCGAGAGAGCCGGAGGGCGGCCCCGCGACAGCCCTGTGCCCGAGGACAACGCCGAGGCGGGGGGCGCCGAGCAGGTACGCGACCCCCGGACACGGACCCGGGGTGGTCCCGGCAGGGCTGAGCGCCCGGGCACCGGGGAGGGGGACAGCGAGCGGCCCCATGGGGGTGCAGGGAGGGATGCTAGGCGTGCATGGCCCGGGCATCCGACCTGGGGGAGCCTGCGGTGGCCAGGATTGCCTGGGTGACTCGCTGCTGACCTGGGGCCTTGCTGTAATTACCAAGGGGAAGTCCCCCAAGGCAAACCCCGACTCCTCTAGGTGTTATCTTTGCCTCTGCAGCGCGGCTGGGTGATGCGAAGGTGGGGTGGGAGGAACCAGCCTAAAAATAGAGGATTGTGAGGACCCGACCGGTGCGTGTTACTGTTTGTTTTTTTTTTTTTTTAAATATTCAGAACAAGAAGGAACTGCAATTGCCCAGCGACTCGCAGGCTCCCCCTCAGCGGGGGTCCATGGCCATTAAAAGTATTGGAGAAAGGTTCCCGTGCAAACTTAATATGTCTGGGTTCGTTTCCCCAAGAGATACCTTTCAACGCTTCAAGACATTCCTTAAACATTTTGTTTCACGCAGAAGACTTGTTGATCCAACCAAGCTTAAATCACTTGACCAATACCGTTGTTATGGAGGTTGGTGGGGGAGGGGGAAAAGGGGAGAGAGTCCCTTTACCTATCCGGGCCTCAGAAACTTTTAAATGGAGGGACTGTATTTTTTTTTATAAAGAAGTCTGCAGTGTGTTGAAGGTTAACGTCCCCCATTACCACTTAAGAGAAAATGGAGCCCCAAGTCCAAAGTGACTTTAGGGGAAGTCTCGTCTTCTTGGGAGGACAGCAGAGCCTTCCTGTAGGAGCTAGTTGAGCATGTTATTGAAATGGAATGCAGTTTTGGGTGTGTGCATGCCATTTTAATTATCATTTTAGAGAAGTGTGAGCCTTCTAAGGAGAATCCTGCATAAAGCATAAAGGGAAAGAAAGACGCAGACCTAAGTATGTCTGTCACCAAAATGAGCGCTTTGGCCCTAACGGATGGGATGGGGCCATTCTTCCCTCGTGCTCTGGTTTGCATCTAGCGTTGTGTGCTGAACCCTGAAACAGTATTACTTGTCATATTCCAGTATTTTATCTTTCCATTTGTCTCCCCAAGTAAGTAGCTATTGACAGATGTTTGGAATAAAAAAGGGTAATAATATAATTAATGAGGTCAATCTGTGTTAAAATAGCAGGATAACATTTCAGCCAATGCCCCCCCCCCCCCCACCTGAGTGACTAAGTAGACCACCCATTAATGGCAACTTTTTCCTCTGTAAGTATCACCCAGCTTCTTAAATAATCTCCTGGTTTCTGTTTGGCCCTTCACCCTGTTTGTTCCTTGCTTGAAACAGCCAGCTCCCCCTTTAAAGTAGGTTGCAGACTGGTTTCTCATCACCATCTTTGCTGATGTCCACCTCTCTGTAAACAAGAGACAAAGGATGGTACCAGTAACTGAGAAGACAAAGCCTGGGGCGGAAGATGCTTTAGAGGTTAAGTCGAGTCTTAAGTTTGCCGTCCTATTAAGTATTTGAGAGGGACTGAAGAGTAGTTAATGCTCTCTATAAATAGTTGGTCTAGTATTGAAGCTATAGGCAGGCATTTAGGAGTAAATTAAAAAGCAGTGCAAGATAAGAGGTCACCAAGGAGCCATGGGGGATGAGGACAAACCTTCTCACTCTAGACCAGTGGTTCCCAACCTCCCTAATGCTGTGACCCTTTAATACAGTCCCTCCTGTTGTGGTGACCTCCAACCATAAAATTATTTCATTGCTACTTCTTAGCTATATTTTTGCTGCTGTTTGGAATGGTAATGTAAATATCTGATATGCAGGATATATCATCTGTAACCCCTATGAAAGGGTCGTGACCTATAGGTTGAGGCCCACTGCTCTAGACAGAGGGTGTGATTAAGAGGAGGAACCAAAAACGAGGGGACAGTGACCCGGGAAACAAGACAGGAGGAGAGTGTGGCATTCTGACAGCCAATGCTAACATTGCTTCAGGGTGGAGGGCCTTAAGGGGTTCAGTATAGCTGGGAAGTCACCTGGGATGGCCATTGAGATGTGATTTTTACCAGACAGAGATTTATTTGGAAAGTTCCTAATTGTCCCATTTTTAATGCCATGCTGAGGGCAGAGCCTTATTTAGGTTACGGGGTGAGCTCTAGAATATGATTCTAGATAAAGAATATGCCCAATTCTTAGGTGATGATTTACATCACAAGGGAGCGGAGGCATGATCTGTATTTGAGGCAGACTTGGGTCAAGCGAGAGATTATGCCTAAGTTTGGAGAGACTGAAGCATGCTTGCTGGATTCGGGGAATGGCTTGGAAGAGGGAAATTTTGATGGCCCAGGGGGAAGGGAGTGGTATGTTAAGGTGCAGAATCCTCTCTGAGGAAGTGAAAGAGGCCAGAGCTAAACAGGGCAGATGCTGGCAGGGTGAAGGATGCAGGCTTCGGCACTTGGCAGTCTGTCTTGGGGAACCAGGCAGGCCATGAGCCATAATCTTCATTTCACAGATGATAAAACTAAGATTCAGCTAAGTGATTTTCTTAAATGCCTCACAGATATAAAGTAGCAGAACCAAGACTTACCTAGTCTCTTGGCTCCAGATCTTGGGTCGTTGATCTTTGTAACAGGATTCTCAAATATTCATCACTTCTGTCAGTTTTAGCAGGGAGGACACTGGCTCAGACCTAATTAGACAAGCGTGGAAGCAGCTAGTTCTTGCACTGTTGCCGGAATCCGAGCCTTGTTTAGTTCCTCTAAGCTTAGAAACAAGGTGCAAGCAGTAATGAAGGCCAGTGAGCTATGTTGTAAGACCCAAGTGAAGTAATAAGGGACACGGAAGTGTTCTGGAAATGGAAAAGTGCTCTTGGCCAATGCAGGTGATGATTCATGTGGTTGTAGCTCGGGCTAAATAGATTCTGAAACTTGCTAGGCGGAGCTATTTTGAAAAGTGTGGCAAGAACCAGAATGGAAGCCTTTCCTTGCTTATGTAACATGCCAGTGTAGCCGCTGTTAGACGTCGGAGGATTCGGTGCTGAAGTAGCTCTGCACTTGTAGTAAGAGTGAGAATCACACCACCTCGGAAACGTGTGAAGATTGCTTAGAAGGATGCCAGTCTGTCTGCACTGAGAGAGGGCGGGAGATGATGAGAGAGAAAGGACTGGGGGCAGCTTTCTTAATGAATATTCATATTCTAGCACTGCAGACTTCCCCATGTTCCATCTCATTGTCGCGCGTGTCACCGGGCAAAAGCATTTTGTCCTACATGATATGGTCTCGATAGCTAAAGGATGCCCGGACCCGCGTCTTACCCATCCACAGTGACCTCACAGCGTGAGTGAACTGCCACACAGAAAGTACCTCAGTCAACGTTCATCCCTCCCGAGAATGAGCTCCGTCTTGCTTTGCGCATTTATCTCCAATTTGCTGATTTAGGTCCCATTGATCATTGAATGGGCAGATGATTATTCATGCCTTGTGTTTGTTATGGTGCTTTGAAGGAGTTTAGAAAGCTAATTCAGTTTAAAACCCCTTTCCCGTTCATAAATATTCCTTGACTTTCAAGTGCAGCTCCGAGATGCAGATTTAATGAGAATCTTCTGTGTAGACTTGAGTTGCCAACTTAACCCTTTCCTAGTGGTGTATGAAGTAAGTTTGGTCATCGGCTCCTGAAACATGTTTGCAATTCATTCTGAATGCAGTTCCGGATCGATACTGATTCTTAGCATTTACTCCCCAAAGGCGTTGAAGAGTTTGCTATTTACTGAATCGAAAGTTTTTTATTTAGTGATAGAGCTCAGAACAGGAATTTGTGACGCAAACAAGGAGGTCATGTCAGCCAGCATTGCTTATGGGCATCAATATAGAGACATAATCGTTTCCTTCATCTGGCCGGGTTGTCGGTGTTCAGGGCTCTTTACAGATGTTGAGTATTTTGGAGTTTGGTCTGGAGCTTTCTCAGTCCCTCTGTCCGTGTCAGTGAGGGTCTCAGGATCATGCTCTGTGTAAGTGTGTGACGGAGTTTCCCTCTGTGTCTTAGGGTGGTGATCCCACGGAAGCAGCTGCTAAACCAAAGAGGAGCTTCTATGCTGCGAGGGATTTGTACAAATACCGACATCAGTACCCAGTAAGACAACAGAATGCTTTCCCCCCTTAAATGTAAACGCTTGTCTTTCCGTTTTTCTGTTTTTACTCTGCTGGTAAGAAAACATAATGGAACGGTCCTTGTGCCTTTTTGTGTGTTCCCATATACTGGAGATTAATTTATCTTTTCCTTTAGCAGAACTTCAAAGATATTCGGTATCAAAATGACTTGAGCAACCTTCGCTTTTATAAGAATAAAATTCCATTTAAGCCAGATGGTAAGTAAGCCATGTTGGTAAAAAAGCAAATTTTAAATCCTAACGGATATTTGGGTGTTCGTTCCTTATCTCGACTTTGTGTATGTCTGATGCATGTGTTAGCTGGTCAGCTTTGTTTCGCCTTGTTATCTATGCAGGCTGATGTGTCCCTGGAGCCCAGGTTTTAGAGTTGTGGCCATCTATTTAGTGAACTGTCGAGAAAAAGATACTGGTTAACTGTATCTTCTTGTTATCTGTGTGTCATGGCTGTTGCTGAAAAGGTAATAGGGGCAGTTGTTTTGTTTGGTTTAGTTTAATTTTTTTTTTGGGGGGGGGTAGACTGTGGAAGGAGACTGCTCTTTCATTTCCCAGCCACCCAGACCCGAATAATCACACAGAAACTATATTAATTATAACACCGTTTGGCCTATTAGCTCAGGCTTCTTATTTACCCACTCTTACATCTTAAATAAACCCAATTCTATTAATCTGTATATTGCTACGAGGCTGTGGCTTACCAGGTAAGGTTCTGTTCTGGCATCTTTCTTCTTTGGCAGCTATATGGCGTCTTCTTGACTCTGCTTACTCTCTCTATATATCTCTGTTCAGATTTCCTGCCAGGCTTTACTCTGCTAAGCCATTGGCCAAAACAGCTTTATTCATTACAAATAAAAGCATCACATACAGAAGGACATCCCACATCAGTAGGCTTGTGTGTGTGTGTGTGTGTCTGTGTGTGTGTGTGTGAGAGAGAGAGAGAGAGAGAGAGAGAGAGAGAACAGAAAAGAGGAGAGAGTTGAGGATCCATAGACTTTCAAATGATTAGATTTTGAAGGGGGTTGAATTCAGCTTTTCATCTCCAATATGCAGTAACTGGGACGTGAAGCCTAAATGACTGACTTCCTGGGTCGCTGAATTGATCTTAGAGAGGGACTAAGTTCCACTGTTCTTTCTGCTATGCCATACCTAAAAATTATTTAGAACATTAGTAAAGATATTGTTTGTGTCTAGAATTACCTTTGCCACTTTTCAGAATCAAGGGCTGGATCACTACAGCAACCCCTGTTTGAACCCTGCCAAATAAACGTGCCCCCCTCACACCCGTGAAACCCGTGAAAAGCATAGGAGCTTTTCCAAACCCAAAGCGAAAATTCACAGTTGCTATGGTAATTTGATTACAAACTTGAAAGCAAAAAAAAAACAAACAAACAAACCTGAGGCAGCACACTCAATGGGTATCTGTATTGTGTATTGGCAAAGCAGGAGCCAGAGTCTCCTTGGAGGATCAGTGTGAGGTGACCAGATTGCCCTGATTCCTGTCATTTGCTCTCAGTAAGAGTGACATTCACAACAGTATGAGTCAGCTAGCGGGGGTCCTAGATCAGCGGTTCTCAACCTGTACATCATGACCGCTTTGGTGGTCAGACAGCCCTTTCACAGGGCTTTCCTGAGACCATCGGGAAACACAGGTATTTACATTATGATTCATAGCAGTAGCAACATTACAGTTATGAAGTAGCAATGAAAATATTTTTATGCTTGGTCGGGGGGGTGTCACTACAACATGAGGAACTGTATTAAAGAGTTGCAGAATTAGGAAGGTTGAGAACCACTGCCCTAGTCTGTAAACTGGGCTGGCTAGTTTTATGTTAACTAATACAGGCTGGAGTCATTTACAAAGAGGGTACCTTGAGTGAGAAAATACCCACATCGTATTGCTCTGTGGGAAAGCCTAGGGCATTTTCTGCATTGATGTCTACGATGGGAGGGCCTCCCACATGAGCAGCTGTGTCATCCCTGGTCTGGTGGTCCTGGATGGTATGAGGTAGCAGGCATGCAAGCCATGGGAAACCAACCAGGAAACAGCATTCCTCCATGGCCTCTGCTTCAGTTACTGCCTCGAGTTCCTAGCCGAGCTTCCCATCAGGCTGTGATGTTGAAGTGGGAGGGAAAAAGCCCTTCCCTCCCTACGTCATTTCTGGCCATAGGAACCCTAAGACATGAACCTTTCAGAGTCTTGGGATATCCAGTGATTAAGCCGGAAAGGGAGCTCAAAGACTGGGTGTGGTGTTTGGGAGAGAGAGTCCTGATCTGATGCCCTGAGGCTTGTTGCCAAAATGGCCAAATCCAATTAACTTAAACATTTTGGTGTCCCAGAAGTCTGGAGGCAAACCTGTGGACATAGATGCAGTTTTATTTACTATTGATTAAGGAAAAAAACGCAGGAGAAAAATGACTCCAATGTGTTAAACCTACAGGATGAACCTGTGAACCTACAGTTAAACCTACAGTGTGGTGTGATTCAGTACAACTTTTCCCATTTCTGGGAGGGGCCTTGGCAACAAGCTGCTGATCTTTGAGGAAACAAGAATGAGATGAGCTGTGGGTTTGTCTGTTGTTTGTTTCTATAAGATTAGCTAACTGGCCAGTGGTAAGGACCTTGACAGACCTGAGGATAAAAAGGCTTTTATTAAGTTCTTATAGGAGAACATGGGGCCATAATAAAAGGACTTACTTTATACAGGCACAAAGACCAGTGTTTTCTCCTAGGCTACTTTGTTCCTAGTGTATGACTGGAGATTGTTATCATCATTAATAACAATAATAATAATAATTTGTTAGTATGTGACTTTGAACAGATATATCACTTAACAGCATTGTTTTCATTAGTAATTTTTTGTTGTTATTAATCATATGGAGATGATAATGCTGTTTGGAATAGTTTTTCTGCACAGAGGCAGATAGAAAATGTGTTAGACTTTGATAGTCCATCGTAACACTCAGGTGTGTGTGTGTTGTAGTAAAAAGCACCTGTGGACAGTATATAAATGGTGTGCTTGGCTATGTTCCAATAAAACTGTACTAACAAGATGATCATTAGACCATCATTTGCCATCCTCTGCTCGAGAGTGCATTGTCTACTACAGAGTTTTGTAATTCAAGTTACTGCTATGTGTTTTTAAATTAGGCTTATTGTATTACCGAGTATTTGTTCCTCTTTCAGGAGTGATCTTGTATGTTGCTGGTTCTAAACTAATGGTTTATTATAAAACTCAGGTGACTTGTATGTTAAAATGCCATCACCGTGTTTTCAGTGAGTGGTTCATTTTCTAAACATTTGCTGTTTAGGGGTTTACATTGAAGAGGTCCTGAGTAAATGGAAGGGAGACTATGAGAAGCTGGAGCACAACCACACCTACATTCAATGGTCAGTTAAATGCTCTCACCCTGAACTGGGCCCTTGGTAACTGTGTGTTCTCAAGACAGTGTACATTGAAAATTTTTATTTTATTTTTAACCAACTAGGCTTTTTCCCCTGAGAGAACAAGGCTTGAACTTTTATGCTAAAGAATTAACTACATATGAAATTGAGGTAAGGCAAACTCAATTCATCTTGCATGAGGTAGCCAATTAATATCCTTTCTTTGTTGTCCTGAGTCATTTCGAGTGACTTTTTTTTTATTTCTTCTTATAATAGGAATTCAAAAAAACAAAGGAAGCAATCAGAAGATTCTTCTTGGCTTATAAAATGATGCTAGAATTTTTTGGGATAAAGCTGATTGATAAAACTGGAAATGTTGCTCGGGCTGCAAATTGGCAAGAAAGATTTCAGCATCTGAATGAGTAAGTGAAGCCCCAATGGTAAGCCAGTGGCCTTCTCCCGTGGCCCCATTATCTGGAAAGTAGGAAGAGCTAGCCATTGGGCAAAGAACTGGCTAGACACTGGGCATAGGAACAGCTAGCCATTGGGCATAGGACGGCTAGCTGATGGGCATAGAACTTGCTAGACACTGGGCACAGGAACAGCTAGCTGTTGGGCATAGTGATAGCTAGACATTGGATATAAGACTCCTAGATATTGGGCATAGGACTAGCTAGCTGATGGGCATAGGACTAGCTAGACACTGAATATAGGAGCAGCTAGCCGTTGGGCATAGTGATAGCTAGACATTGGGTATAAGGCTCCTAGATATTGGGCATAGGACTAGCTAGACACTGGGTGTAGGAACACTATTAGGCATAGGGATAGCTAGACATTGGGCATAGGACTGACTGGCTAGCTGATGGGCATAGAAATAGGAATCAAAATCTAGTCAGATATGCATTTATTTCTTCTTGTACATTCTGATGCAAAGCACAGAAACTCCAAAGGACAAATCTGCATAGCACGTTGGCTGTTCTGCTCAAGAGCCGTTTCTTCCTGAATCCTCTGCCTGCAGCCAGACGTGGCTTTTCTCCCTCTCTATGCCACGTTTCATGGAGTTTACAGTTATTGTTTGCTTGCAGTTTTTCATATCTTCTCTCCTAGGCCATAGGCTGCTTTCGGTACAAAGTTTCTAATATCTTCATGCATGCAAATACCTTATATTAAATTCGTGACTGAGATCTATGATGCATAAATAAAAATGGTTTCATTCAATGTGGCTATACTTCTGACTAGAGGAATAGAGGAAAAGTTATTTGCATGAGTTAGGTAAAAGACAAGTACCTATTTGTGGTTAATTCCAAAATCTACAAAGGAAAATTGAATAGCTTTCTTGGATGGGTTTAGCTGTACTCTTTTGCTTGAATATGTATAATGGTAATTAATACTTATAACCAAAGTTTAGTTTTAAAAATATTTTCTTCATATGCACACTGGTTTTCTTCCCATTTTTAATTATAGCGTGACTTAGGAGTACTGGACTCTAAACCGACAATTTTAAGAAACTTTTTTTAGCACCTTGTAATTAGCTGAACTGGGCAAGTATTAAGGAAAAAAACTAACGTAAGTGATTTCTCTTTGGCAAAAACAATCAGAGTTTTGGCATCGGCTCTTTAAAATGTTTGCATCTTCCTAGAACTTTCTTGCTTTGGTAGAGGGGTGGAAATACTAAGGTTGGGGTGTCTTTTTCCCATGTCTTAAGTAACACTATTCAAATCGGCTCTGCTCAAGCCTTGAAAACGTGGGCATAAAGCTTTACGCTCCTCACTGGAGACCCGCTAACTTAGAACTCGGGATAAGTTCGCTATGTAAGCTATTTAAAGACAAACACGTCTGCATCTGCCTGTGTCCCACAGACAGTCAGGTCTGGATGGTTTCTAAGCAACTTTGTCATGCTGTTGAAGAAGGCTGTGTGTAAGGCAGCCTGTGGCAGAGAGTGAGCATACCGCACTTCTGTGTGCCAACCACTATCACTTTGTCGCTTCTTGGGATGACAGTCGTGTTTGGCACATCGTGGCTGAAGTTGTAAATCCTGGACAGAATGTGATCAAAGGCTTGAGTCCTCCCCAGGGTATCATTGTCAGGCCTTTTCATTTATAGCCAAAACCAGAGCCTTTTTTTGAAGGCTTTACTTAATTAGGTTGTCTCTTAGCCCTGGCTGGAAGAACCGCCTGAATTTACAGCCCTTCCACACTGCCCCACCTCGCTCCCTCTCCTCCTGTCATCCAGTGTCTGTCTGTTTTCCCAGTTCTAGATGAACTCTCTGAGGAAAACATTTTTTTTTTAATTTGAAAAAAATATTTTACATGTATATGTGTGTGCCTGCTTGTCTCTGTGTGTGCCGCATATATGCAGATGCATGCAGAAGTCAGAAGATCCGGTCCAGTGGAACTGGTATTCCCAGGCAGTGAACTGCCTACAGCAGGTGCTGGCAACCAAATATGAATTCTCTGCAGGACTGTCTTTGAGACAAGGTCTCTGAGTCCAGGCTGACTGCAGATCTGCCATCTTCCCAGCACTGCCTTCCAAATCCCAGCATTATAGACACATGCCACTACAGCTTCCTAATTGCCGGAAATTTTTATTTGTTATAATTGGGCAAATGATGTAAGTGTATCTCCTCTGTCTTCATTTTCATTTGGGTTCTTCTGTGACTTATTCTTAAATGTCATTGCTTCTATGTGACTGAAGCCGCGCGGCGTCTTGAACGCTTTAGAGAATAGGCCGGGACTCGGTTGTATTTATAGCTCAGTGGAGGAAAACTGTTTAATCAGAGCAACATGAAGTAGTGTCGAGCGAACAAGTGACCAACCGTGGTAAAATATGCTGGTGAAATACGTCCAGGCACGAGGGCACAGCTGTGCAGATCAACCTCAAGAAGCTGTTCAGGTCCTGTTTGCAGCGAGCTGTACTGACTCTCAGCTCAGATTTCATTTCCCTCCTGTGTTCCCCCTTTTCCTGTCTAGGCTTTTGGCAAAATCAGCCCTGCCATTTTGTCTCTCGAGCAGCACTTTCTCAGTTCCCTGGTGTGCAGGGACTGAACTTCTCCTTCCACCACTTCGCCTTTCCGTGTGGCATTTATATCAAATCATACTGAAGCACCCGATTACAGAGAATTTCATTCTAGAATCCTGATCTTTGTTTTTTACTTTCTTTTTCCCTTTCTGTTACATAAATACTTAGCTTGCGAATGTCTAGATGCAGATGAAGGTGCATGCAAACACTACGTTTCCTGTTTGTCATAGAGTGGTTGAGTTGCAAACCTGGTATCTGCTTCATCACGTTTCGAGGTTTGTCAATAAGTTCTTTCAACTCAAGAGCTCTACATTAATGTGACCGTTAAATCAATCCTGTGGTTATTGGTATGGTTTCTTAATATTACCCCAGTCACATTGTCTCAAAACACAATTTAAATTGTAGATTTGAGGCTGGAGACATGGCTCGGCAGTTAAAAGTTGTTACTGCTCTCGCAAAGGACCAGGGTGTGGGTCCCAGCACCCACGTGGCACCTTGCTGCCTCTAACTCCGGTTCCTGTGAAGCTGGCATCCTCTTCTCACCTTCCTTGGTTCCTGCACACACACAATGCATATAGACTTAAATAGGCACACACAGACACATAAAGAAGCTTTAAGAAAATCCTGATGTTACAGATCCATAATACTAAGACATATGTCTAAGTGTCACCTTTCAGACAAAAAGAAAATTAAAATGTAAAATAATACTTTGAAGATAAACATCCAAGAGGATGGAGATAATAAAATTTGTGTGGGCTTATCTATCCCAGTCATTGGTTAGCTCAAATAATTAAGATTTCCGTTTTATCTGTATTCTCTTATTGAAATATAAGACCATGGAGCTACTACACTTCCATATCTCAAATAATTTGACATCTTTCTCCAACATTTCCAGATGATTTGGCAATTACTTCTAATTTAATAACTCAAACACTTTTGGAAGCTAGGGCAGATACATGTAGCAAGGGTTTTGTGCACGTCTTTTTACACTTTCATCTTTTTCTGTACCATCCCTTCTTCTTATGACAATATCAGCTAACTTGATGCTTGGCGGTTTGTCACAAGCTGCTCTCATAGATCCCTCATCCCCATATATGTTAATAAACAAGGCAACACCAGCGAGGATGCATTCAATCCCAGTAATTCTTTACATAGAGAGTCTTTTCAAGAGGAGAGTTGGCTTGTACATTTGAGTTTCACATAGGTTGCCTTGAGCCGAGACCTCAGAGTCAAATACATGCTATTTTCTCTTATGTTCTGTAATTCTCTCTTTCAGGTCCCAGCACAACTATTTAAGAATTACGCGGATTCTGAAAAGCCTTGGTGAGCTTGGGTACGAGAGTTTTAAATCTCCTCTCGTAAAATTGATTCTCCACGAGGCTCTGGTGGAGAACACTCTTCCCAACATCAGGCAGAGTGCTCTGGAGTATTTCGTGTATACCATTAGAGACAGAAGAGAGAGGAGGAAGCTCCTGCGCTTTGCCCAGAAACATTACAGGCCGTCGGAGAATTTCATCTGGGGCCCGCCTAAGAAAGAACAGCCGGAGCAAGGCAAAGCCCAGAAGATGCCTGCTCTGCCCACTTCAGGTTCGAGTAGTCAAACATCTATGCACAAGAAATCCAAGGACTCCAAAAATTCCTCAGTAGCTGTTCAACTAAATAGCAGAACTGTGGAAGAGAAAAAGGGGGCTCCTAGAGAGGCTGTGGAGGAGACAGAGAAGCCGGGCCCGGAGCCCTGCAGTGAAGATAGCAAACCGCAAGACACAGAGCCAGACAGTGCTGCTGAAGAATCAAATCCTCCACCCGAGGAAACAGTTACTGAGACCGCAGGGAAAGGGCAATGTCCAACTTCTTCTGAAAATGTCGAAGAGGGGGAAAACCAGAGCAAAGACTCGGAAAACCCTGAAAACACCAGTTGCCACGATGAGGTACTGTCACAGTGAATGTCACAAACCCACAAACCAGTTCCGGTTAAGAGTGTAAAACACTCCTGTCTAATTTACCCCGAGGAACAGAGATGAGGTCACGTTTAAAATGTTAGCCATCTGTGAATTTTGTTGTAAACCGTTTGTTCTTCTTTTTTTATTTTGGATCACAATGAAATTGGATATTTAATAAGTTTTTAAGACCAGATCCAATAAAAGAATATATTTAGGATGTGTTTTTCCAAATTCTGTATATAACAGTTACTTTAAAAATATTATCAAGTCATCTAGAACTAATGGAGTAGCATTTTGTATTCTGCCTGTTCTCTTGAGAGATTCATGTAGAAATCAGGACCCTCTCCAGATGCGGTCTTACTGGACTTTTAAATTCATTTTGAAACTGGAAGGATGAGTAGGTTTTCTCGAATGTATCCAGAAAGTCATCTGGGTTCTTTGTTGCAGCTCCTTGGTGTTCTTAGCTTTGGGTTCTACAGTGGCAGTTGGTCCCACTTGTCTGCAAGCCTGCCTCTGCTCCGTCTTTGTCAGCGTCCACACGAGTTTTCCAGCACACGTTAGGACCCGTGTCCAGCTGGGGAGAGGGAAATTTTTAATAGTCTGACTTCAAGATTTTTTTAATGTTTAGAATAATAAGAATATTTTCAGTATTAAGTGTTTAGAAAGGACGTGTGTCTGTGTGTGTGTGTGTGTGTGTGTGTGTGTATGTGTATGTATGTAAATACAAAACAAAAATAGACTGTTTTTTGTGGCTATTATATATAAAACTGGTGGTTGATTAGGACTATACTCACTGAGGAGTGTTTTAAAAAAATCACAAATGTTTTCTAAAGATGTGTCCTCACACTGTCGACGGGCAATTTTGCCCTTTGAGCCATTCCTGCATCAATGCCATGAGCACTGTGGGTTTGCCTGTGTCACTCGTCCACAGTGTCTGTGTGTGTGTAGCATTGTGGGATTGCCACTGTCACTAGTCCACAATGTCTCTGTGTGTGTGTAGCATTGTGGGATTGCCACTGTCACTAGTCCACAATGTCTCTGTGTGTGTGTAGCATTGTGGCGTTGCCAATGTCACTCGTCCACAGTGTTTGTGTGTATGTAGCATTGTGAGGTTGCCAATGTCACTAGTCCACAGTGTCTGTGTGTGTGTAGCATTGTGGGATTGCCACTGTCACTAGTCCACAACGTCTCTGTGTGTGTGTAGCATTGTGACGTTGCCAATGTCACTCGTCCACAGTGTTTGTTTGTATGTAGCATTGTGAGGTTGCCAGTGTCACTAGTCCACAGCTTCTGTATGTGTGTGTGTGTAGCATTGTGGGATTGCCAGTGTGACTCGTCCACAGTGTCTGTGTGTCTGTAGCATTGTGGTGTTGCTGATGTCACTCGTCCAGTGTCTGTGTATGTGGGTAGCATTGTGGGATTGCCAGTGTGACTCGTCCACAGTGTGTGTGTGTGTGTGTGTGTGTGTGTGTGTGTGTGTGTGTGTATGTTCATCTGCAGTTAGTCATTTTGGATCTGAGAACAGTTTGCGGTTCCATACACTCACTCACTTTTAGTAAGAACTAGTATATTACAACTCATTGGCTAACAGTCTTGTTTTGTACAGTTGTTGCTAATTACTGCAGATCCGAAGACAATCAGAAACACTGTGATGGGAACTCCAAAACATTCATACAAACAAAGCAATGAACAGAGAATATTTTTACTGTTTTTTATTTAGCAAGGAATTGACTTTATAAAATCTCTCTTCGGCTTTCAAGAAAAGTCCTATAGGCTTTCCCTGCCTCTCTCCTACCCCAAGGAATTTTTACTATTTCCTCTTTCATACCACATCACATAATCATCTTGTTGGTTTTTTCCACCCACAGTTTTAGTGGTGATTCCTGCAAAATACTCCCACCAATCTTGTGCTTTTAAAAATAAGATTTTATCGTTTTTAAGTTTACACAATACAGCTCAGTTGCTCATCCCGGATTTTGTGTGTGTGTGTGTGTGTGTGTGTGTGTGTGTGTGTGTGTTTAGAGAGAAAGAGAGTATGCTGCGTATGTGTGTGTGCATATGCGCACACGTGCATGCATGCGTCCTGGTGGCACCGGTGTTGTGTATCCATCCCAGTGAGTAAGATAGGAAACACTTCAGCATTTAGTTACTGCAATTCTACAGCTTTAGTTTGTTGAGTTTACACAGGATTCAGGAAGGAAAGAGGACTACTAAATTAGGCCAAATTGTAGGGCTATGATTGGTTTAATTCAAAATATCTTAATTTTGAACACACAATGAAGCATTCAGACCACTTTAAGTGTATTTAGTATAAAAACCATGGGATCAGGGGGACTAGAGAGATGGCTCTTCCAAGGTTCCACTCTCAACACCTATACTAGGTGGTTGGTTCACAACTACCTCTAGTACTAAGGGATCTGAGTCCTTGTTCTGGCTTCCAGGGGAACTCTGTACATGCAGTGCCCATACATACCTATTACATATGCATAAATGAGGTTTTTTTTTTTTTAAAAAATAAACATGGGCCAGATACTAAAAATATTTTTTAAATACAAGATACCAGGAACTAAAATTAATACAATCTGAATCACATAGAAATTATGGTATACCAGAACCCTTAGAAATGAAAACGTTTAACAATTTCGAGTTTAGACTATTATTTCTTATTAATGATTATGTTAGCTTGCGCTATTTAATTTGAGAACATTGAGTCTCAAGAGGAGAACTCCCTGGCTTCCATCTAAAATAGTGGCCTTTTCTCAACGATGGTGATTTAAACTGCATATTCATAAAGTGGCAATGTTTCCTACATTTTAACTGTAAATAACAAAGAGAATAACTCAGTGAAGAACAAGTTAAGGGAAGTCATTCCTTTTGCTGATAAAAATTGAACGTCTCAAATTTTTTCTATTAAAAGCACTTTGTACATTTAATAGTTTTTTAACATAAGATCTATAGGTGATGTATTTCTCTGTGTGTTAGATATCAAACAGCCCTCTGAATTTGACTTCTATGTTTGGTGTTTTTCAAACTACCATATGCTTACAGAAATTTACTAAAAAGCTGTTCCAGAAAATGCTATGTAGCATGGCCAAGTAGCTAGACACATTGCTGAGCTTCCGCAGGTGTTCTCATACGGGCTTTGTTGTACCCTGGCCTGTAAGGACTCTAAGTGTGGCTACTGATAAAATTACGTAGACGTCGTATTGCTTGATTAGCCTTATGCATTTCTGATATTTTTTGCTCTCATATTTCAGAGGAGAAAATATATGTGAAGATATTTTGAGATACTGTAAAGCGATAAATAGTTATATATTTCTGTATGGTGGAGATGTTTCTGACATTAAAGGTTATTGTATCGTTCTGCATTTTTGAGCTTATTCTCACAGGAAATTCTAAATAATCATGGTAGACCTAAAACAAATCTATGTGCTTCCTCTAAAATTAAGTCTAGTTGTTGACTTCTAAAATTATAGTGTATACTTTTGTTTTAGGTTTTGAGACTATATTTTTTTCAGTTTTAAAGAAGAGAAGGTGTATAACTCCAGAGTTACTAAGAAAGTTCTCAGGGTTTTTCTTTTCTCTCTCTCTCTCTCTCTCTCTCTCTCTCTCTCTTTCTCTCTCTCTCTCTTTCTCTTTCTCGGTGTTACGTATATAAATACATGAAGATGTAATAAAAACTGTCACAGCCGTGATGCTTTATACCACGCCCTTCTCATTTGCACAGTTTACTGGAAATGAAGGTAGGATGGGGTAAGAAGAAACCATTTTGGTAAATAAACCTACATGCTAAATGGTTAAAAAACAAAACAAAATAAAGAATATTTGGTGGTTAATTGTTTTAAAATCAAAGTTTCCCATTTATGATAAAGTGATGGAGTTGAGCAAATTTAAAACTATTCTCTAGCTGCCTCTAAAATCTGTGTTACATAACACAAGAAGAGCATTTAAAAAATCTAACTTATAATTGCATCCCTAGGCCTTTAAGTGCTATTTAGAATAAGATCCCCTGTTGCAGGAATGTTGGTGAATAGTTGTTCTTCTGTTTTTCTATTTTTTGCCTTTCTGTTTGTGTGTGTGCGTGTGTGCATGTGTGCGTGCATGTGTTTGTGTGTGTGTGTGTGTGTTTGAGGATGAGCTGATATTTGACATGCTAGAATCATTCAAGGCAGGGGTAGTTTTAGAGGAAGATGGCTGGAGTGAGTGTTGGACCTAGAAACCTAGGTGAGTTTGTAGTGCTTGTTGCAGATTGGTGTGGGAAATCTCTAGGACGACAGCGAGTAGAATCCTGCTTCCCCCATTGTTCTAGTGCGCCAACCCACCAAGCAGATTGTGTTTCAGGAACAGGCTGCTTTGAGAAAGTTAATAATATAGCTCTCATATGAATGCCTAGAGGTTTCAGATGTGCCTTAATGAACGTAAATTGTTCTCTTTCAGAAGTTTGCGTTACTATGCCATTGTAAACTCTTGTCTTGGGGAACATCCCAAACCATGAGTATAAGTCGTGTTAATAAAACTGAAGTTGGTGCTTTATCATTTTGGAGAAATTGCCATTGAATGACAAGAGCACCAATTCTTAAAGTATATTCACTGCAGTATTCAACAATATGTCATCTTTGCCCAAAGGGTTCAGAGGGGCAAAGATTCACCTATTGTTGCGTTAGCTTTAATGTTTCCCAGTTCCTTGACATGCTGGCTCATTGAAACAGTCTTTGGTTACTGCAAACCATGGTGATCTGTTTTACTTTCTGTTCTTGCATTCAGATGGCTACATCAAATGGAATGTTATTAGAGAAATTATTCAAGTCTCTGTTCTAGCAGTTGTTTTGAGGAATCTGAAATTCGTTTGAAAAACCTTCATGTTACTTTCTTAGTAGACACTTTTTTTTTTTTTCGAGACAGGGTTTCTCTGTAGCTTTTGGTTCCTGGAACTAGCTCTTGTAGACCAGGCTGGCCTCGAACTCACAGAGATCTGCCTGCCTCTGCCTCCCGAGTGCTGGGATAAAAGGCGTGCGCCACCACCGCCCGGCTAGTAGACACTTTTTTTTTATGCATACAATATTCTGTCTGTGTGCATGTCTGCAGGCCAGAAGAGGGCACCAGACCTCTTTACAGATGGTTGTAAGCCACCATGTGGTTGCTGGGAATTGAACTCAGGACCTTTGGAAGAACAGGCAATGCTCTTAACCACTGAGCCATCTCTCCAGCCCCTAGTAGACACATTTTAAAGGCTTGTTCCTGCTTCCTTTCCTATAGATTAGAGAAAGTATTCGGTGTCATCTGCCAAGTCTTTTGTGAATTTTTCTTTTTTTTTTTTCCCTTGAATTAAAGTTTTCATGTGGAAAATCTTGTGATGGACTTGTGTGGCGACCCTAACCCTGGCTGACTGAGAATGGGGTTCAGAGGAGAGCTGGTTAAGGATGTGAGCATCTTGGAAGGCATAGCAAACCCCTTTCTGTGTGCACTAGGGGGATCTTCACAGGTGTATGTGACTCATGAATCTGTTGGCTGTGCCCTCTGCTGCCAAGCCATGAGAGGCCTGCTTGGGCCTCGTGCCCAATTGCAACGGATGTTGTTTTTCACAGAATATTTGATGTAATTTATTTGCTCCCATTTTATAGCAGTTTAGAAATTTATGCGCAAATGGGCATCTGCTCTGTAAGTTAGTTCTGTCGTTACATCTATCCTGGGAGACACTAAAATATCACCTTTCACCTTGGTTCTTCAATCAAATTTCTTTGGAGCTGTTCTCCCATAGACTTATTGTATTAGCCAGGATTCTCTAGAGGCACAGAGCTTATAGAATGCATACATACAGACACATGCATACTTATATATTCTTTTTGTTTTGTTTTTTGAGTCAGGGATTTTCTGTAGCTTTGGAGCCTGTTCTGGACCAGGCTGGTCTTGAACTCACAGAGATCCTCCTGTCTCTGCCTCCTACGTGCTGGGATTAAAGGCATGTGTTACCACTGCCCCGCTGTATACTCTTAGAACTTTTAGAATACATATATTCTGTTGGTAGACAATGTTTGCCCAGGAACAGAAAGTCCAAGAATCCTGCAGTCCGGTCCATGAGGCTAGATTTCTCAACTGGTCTTCAGATTCTACACTAGATTCTGGAAGAACAGTGAAGGAATGGACTTGCAGGCTGGCCAAGAGCAAGCTTCCTCCTTCCATATTCTTCACGGGCTGCCAGCAGGAGGGGTGGCCCAGGTTAAAGGTGACTCTTCCCACCTCAAAAGATCGGGATTAAAGGTGTATCTTCCCACCTCACATTTGTTGTTGTTGTTTTTTAAGAAAACACAAAATCCCTTACAGGTGTGATTGAAGCTTGATGTCTGCTACTTGTTTTTCTAAAATACGCTTTAAATCATAGCATCTTAATGATACATTTTTAAATGACCATGATTAACTATTTTTAATGAAGAAAGTTGTGAACTACAAGCAACTAACAAATGCCGTGAGAGAAATAGTCTTCCCCAGAGAAGAGCATGGTTATTGATAATCCAGTATAGTCAGCACTGAGAACATCTGCTTGTAGATCGCATATGGACAAGAAGATTGTATTTATAGTATTGTGTGTGTGTGTGTGTGTGTGTGTGTGTGTACACATATGTGTATGTAACAGCAGGAAAAGAGGCCATGAATTTGAAGGAGGGCGAGCAAGAGGGTGGGCACATAGAAGGGTTTGGAGGAAGGAAAGAAAAGGTAGAAATGGGCACATGGAAGGGTTTGGAGTGAAGGAAGGAAAAGAAAGGTAGAAATGGTGTAATTATTTACTTAAATGAAAAATTTTAAAACATTTTAAGGAGGTTATATTAGCTAGAGAAACCAGTTATAGAAGACACTTTTAAGCCCAAGGAATGCTCAACTCCTGGGCTCACTGGCCAAAGGAGCATATTTTTAATGCTAACTGACATAGTTTTATGTGAAGAAAAGAAAAGCAAATGAAAACGAATATTAGAAGCTTCAAGAACATCCCTGAATTGAAGTTACTGGAAATGCCAGGATTATCTGAAGCAGGTGAGGAATGGGTTAGAGACGCTGCGGGATATGTTATAAGCATCAGCTGGGCATTCTCTGCCCAGGTGCTCAGCGATTGGTACAGAAGTAGACCCATTAATGTTCTCCATGAACTGTGAGTTCCACGTTGACCCCTTCAGTTAGGCTAATGGAATTAACCAAGTGAGCAGTACCAAATTCAATTCTTTTTACGTGTAGGCAATCAGGGTTGTTGAGATGGCTTGAAGATAGGTCGTAGATGGAGTTCCTGTCTCCCACACTGTCTGGTTGTCTGCATAGTTTAGTCCATGGCGTTACAGCTAAGCATCGAGTGAGGGCCAGAGAGACAGCTCCGTGGGTAAAGGTGCTTGCCGCTAAGCCTGATAACCTAAGTTAGATCCCCGTAAACCACAAGATGGAAGGAGAGAGCGGACTTCTGCAGGTTTCCCTCCGGCCGCCACAAGTGCACAGTGGCACACAGGTGCACTCTCGCAGGTGCGTATGTGCACACACAGAGTAAA